GCGCCGGTTCAAGAGCTATTTTGTCGGCCCAGGAGGAACATCAACCAGGCGGACTGCGCCTGTAGATCAGTGGGATGACCAGCAACCGCATCATAGCAATATCCCCCAGGGCGCGAATCTGCCGGGACACTGCCTTCAAGCAGTTTGTGAGATTGAACGTGCAAAATTATCTTCATAATCTCCTACTCAGACAAATCACCGGAACTCCGCAGAGAGTTTGCGGAAGTTCCGCCTGGTCACCTGCGGAAGTTCCGTAAACGTGCTGCGGAAGTTCCGAAACGAGGTCCTGCGGAATCCGAAGAATGCCAGCCACAACAGCAAAAGAGAACACCGAAGCGAGATTTGAACCTCACTCTATTGACTGTGAGACCCACCCACTATCCTCTACGCTACGACTGACATGTTCGATGATGCACTCTGGTTGTTGGCGAGGCCACATCACGAGATATCACATTCAAAGTACTGCGGAAGTTCTGGCAGGCCAAATTGCTGCGGAACCTCTGGCAATTTTCGGAATTTCCGCAGGAGTTTGAAGAAGGTCCTGCGGAAGTTCCGGTTTTCAACCAGTTTGGCATGAATGTCCCGCGGAAGTTCCGATTTTCAACGTTTTCATTTTTGCAATAGTGAACAAAATCCTGCGGAACTTCCGCAAATTTGGCTTGTCCTGCGGAAGTTCCGGTGATTTGTCTGAGTAGTTCAGTTTTTCATTCAACAGTTTCGCCGAAGGTAGGGTACCACTGGGCTGAATATACAGATATAGATGCCATCTTACCTCATCTGTACTGCGAACTCCAATGAAATGCTCTTCAATTCGAGCATCTGCATTCAAATTACACTAAAAGAGGTCAGCATTTGGATGAGTTTGTGGATGCTGGTATAGTCTTTGATTCAACTGGATTGGCGGTTGGAGGGCGAGGCTTTGTGACCTAATTATGGCCGCTCGCGCCCCGACGCAGTCTGCATCTCTCTCGCGCTCGTGCTCTTCGATCATTCTTTAGCCTTAAATAGGTCGCGAAGCCCCGCCTCTAAGCGCCAATCCAGTTGAATGAAAGCTACCTCTGATTGAATTCTTGGTAATGGAACAAAATCGGATCCAATGCTTTCATCACGTATGTATACAGGATCAGAAATTTCAGAATTCTGTAAAAGAAGGTAAACGAGAAGTTTTGTACACAGCACAGTAATTCTACAATGGAACATCTATGCTGCTAAACTGAGTCAAATCGATGCCTTCTTCCGCTAATAGTATTGATAGTGAACTTACCGGAAATGTCCATTGTGTATCCTCACTAGTGTAATGGTGATAACCGGAGCTGTTATATTTCTAAAAATCTCTTAGTTCTTCTTAATCTATCACCATACTTTGACAACGAATGGAACCTTGTGTTTGCTGCTTTCATCATCAAAGTAACGCCTACCACGTCTACCATCCCTTGACCTGACATCAGTGAAAAGCATAGACTCTGTTCTTGGTCAAAGTTGTAACGCCCACCTTCTATACGAGTCACCATCGTAGGCGTTCTCTCGAAAAACAAAAACTTGATCACTTGCCATTGAAGACAGAACTCTAGGAATGAACAATACTACCTCATTAGTCACTAGTCTTTATTATCAAGTAATACATATTACTCATGGCTGGTCATTTTACATTTTCTGAGGAATTCGATGGTTCATATACACCATTCCGAAATGTCTCAAACCCTGTAATAAGGGCGTAACCTTTGGTTCAACTGGCTTGGCTGGAAGGCGGGGCCTTGTGACCTAATTAAGGCCGCTCGCGCACGCGACGCAGCCGGCGTCTCTCTCGCGCTCTGCTCTTTCATTCTCTAGCCTTAACTAGGTCGCGAAGCCCTGCCTTTCAGCCGCCAATCCAGTTGAATCAAAGAGTAGCTGAGACGGGAATTGGCAGAGTTCCGTCATAAATTGGATAGGGCCCACTTCTGTGCTTGATTATTTTGCAATCAGAACGTCATCTCTGTTTGGAGAGGCGTGCACTTAGGTCCATTTATCATGCGCTTCTTTTGTCCACATAATGAAAACATTTTGAAGCCCTTAAGAAATTCTGGACGCCTTGAATTATCATATCGTGCATCCCCCAGAATTGTCCCCATATGAACCATTAACGTGGCTGCTTTCGGTCGTTTTAACTCGTTAACTCAGCAAATTAGAGGCGCTTATTCGAAGTTGACATGTTAAAATTATCGAAAGACAGCCACGTTGATGGTTCATATGGGAACAATTCTGGGAGATGCACCATATTTCTTGGCCACTAACTATCGCAACCGAAATGCAAGATGATTGGCATAGGCGAGAACTTGTCCTCAAAAACGAGAATTGGTCTTCCGACGAGAATTGGCCTTCAGAGGCGAGGATTGATTCCCAGCTATAATTCCTTTAGACTAGACCCGAAATGAACTGTCTTTTTGGGAGAATTGTGAGGTGATGAAATAGCGCGTGATTTATGACCACGGCTTAATCTATCAAACTGATTATGAAATCTCTAAGTGACACGAAATATTCCAGAAATATTTCTGCATATTTCACACTCCAGTGGAGTCTCTGTAGCGAGAAGTGGAAGTACATTTTTACGATGATAATTGGTAAACTTCATAATTTTAATAGGGCATCAGGGTACCATTCGATAGAGTAGAGCAAGCTCTACAAGAGGGTATGCAAAAGTCCACACCAGCTTGGACCAACCACAAGTTTGCATCCAGAATCTGTGTCGTGCTGAAGGCTCAAAAACTTAGGAAAAAATGATATCTTCGTTCAAATAAAAGTTTAGAAATCGAGAAAACAAAAATTTAGTGTTTTCACAAAAGCGAAGCTACGCTGTTCTCACACATGTGCATACTGTGCATAATACAAGCCCCTAGAAGTCAACCCTAAATTCAGTTTTGCAAAATCCCTAGTTTTCGAAAAATACCGAATTTACCATTGAACACTTAGATGGGAAAAGCTAAATTCGGTATTCTCCAAAAACTAAGCTAAAAGCTGAAGATTTACGGTTATGTTTCTAAGGGCTTGATACAATTATGTTAATGGAAACAGCATAGCTTCGTTTTCGTAAATAAATTAATTCTAAATTCTATCGAATGTTACCCTACAGCCCTATCAAATTCATGAAGTGTACGACTTATCGTCGTAAGAAGTTAAAGTGTAACAAGACTTATGTAACAACCTAATATTGTCACGCCTTTGCACTTCAACTTGTTTCAGGTGCTGTTATCTTATCATTCAGAGACTGCCAACGCGCTGATTTAAGATCATCACTAGTTTTGGCTACTCCATGTTTCCCTATAATTGATGTAGATTTTTTCCCATTAATAGTTGATTTATTGCTAGGTACTCCTCAGCATAAATAGAGTTGTTCTATAAATAATTTTCATGGTTAATTTTTAAAAAACAACAAATAATAGTAATTATTTCAGCCGAGTAATTTTAGAAAATTCTTGCTCAAATCTTGAGCATTTGCTGTAGAATATGAATTAAGAAATTGGATCAGCTCATTTTTAATTAAAATGCGACACCTGCGCATCTCAAATTTCTTTTTTAAGGAAGACCTATCCTGAAATCGTTCGGAGTAGCAATAGACAAACAATCTAAGAAAAATTCTTTGCAAAATTTCTTGCTCTTTCTAGCAGTGATTTTTCTGTTCGGATTTCTTCAATGTTCGTTTGGAAAACCTTAAGAATCCTCAACCCTTGGTTTTTACCTACTTTGACTTATTTTCTGGATTTCTGTTCCGAACTTTTGATTAGCTTGATAATAGTTAGATAGAGTAAAGAAAATGCAATGTTATGAAAATTTTTGGCATCGATAGCTGGCTTTTCAAAATTTTTGAGAATATTCCTCCGATGCTATCAGTTTTCATACTTGGGCATCACACTCCTCATAGAACATCAGACGGCAAACAGCTAGGATGTCATTCGATGCAGCTTATTCCCCTCCTCTTAACAGACGTTTAAGGTCTCGGACAGAGTTTACGCGATTTTATCGTCGCGATTCAGCCGCCGCGATTTTCATTCATTTTCATTTTACATTCAAAAATTTCTGGCTGGAAAAGTATCACAACCGAAATACAAGCTGGTCGGCATGCAATGAACTCGTAACAGTTGTCTTGTCGCGATTGAATCGCGACGATCAAATCGCGTGAACTCTATTTCACGACTTCGCAACTACGAAGACTTCTGGAAAACTTGTTTTTAAAAGCGCTAAAAAGCAAGCTATCGATGTCGAAAAATTGGGGTTTTGTAACATTTTGTTCATTCTATCCAACTATTATCAAAACATTCCCAAAAGCCCAGAACAAAAACTCCAAAAGGTAGCTAAACTTATGATACGTAAAATGCTTAGGTTGCAGATTGTGGCGATTGTTAGAACATTGAAAGAATCCGAACAAAAAAATGCTGCTGAACAGAGCAAGAAAAAACTTTCTAGATGTTTATCGATCTTTATTCTGATTTGAGGATAGGTCCAAAAAACAGCACAAATTTTCGGACCCACCTAATATATTTAGAAATCTGTATTGTTATCTGCTATATTCATTTCTGTGTAAGTTCCATATGCATGATGTAAAATGACCCTATTTGGCGTTCTACCATAACCAGAATACCACAGCTTCAAAAAACCCTAAGCCTACAATGTTGAGTGGTTTCCACTCAAACGCCTTCCCTCCCCCCCCCCACCCCCGCCTCGAGAATTTGAAGGTCTCAAATTTTGAAAACGGTTTATATGAGTCATAATGTGCAGATGACTTGTTTTGAGCATGAAAGTAAAAATAACTTTCAAAAAATTTCAAAAATCTGAGTTAGTTTTGTAACAACATTCTTCCGAGGGGGGTGGCTGCTGCCACTCTTTTTTTTTCTTAATATTTCGGTGAAATTGGACCGCGAAAAATTGGGAAGCATTCTAAATTTCTAAAATGGCTAACGCCAAACTCGGTTTGAGAAATTTTTATCTCCCGCCCAGAAAATATTCCTCGGATCGTCACTAGTAAATTTTAGATGAAACGAGTTGCAATTGTTGGCGCTGGCCCCAGTGGTTTACCATCAACCAGGTAAGTTATGGCATTACTCGGTCGAAAAAAATTGCTACCCTAGGCACGCATTATTATATGGTTTTGAGCCTGTTGTTTTCGAAATGTCAGACAAACTTGGGGGTTTGTGGAATTTCAAACCACAAGAAAGTGAAGGTAAGAATTTTCGAAATTTCTGAAATTACAATTTATGCGTTTGATTAACTAGAAGCATCCGTCATGAAATCGACTGTAATCAATTCATCAAAGGAGATGAGCGCATACAGTGATTTTCCACCAAAACCAGAAGCTGCAAATTATATGCATAATCGAAAATTGCTCGAGGTTTGTTAGATTTACTGCCCCTCAAACATTATGCTAAATCTAAGCACAAAATTTTCTAGTATTTCCAAGACTATGCAGAGCATTATAAGCTTCATCAATACATCAAATTTAATCACAAAGTCACCAGCGTTCGCAAGGCTGCAGATTACCAAAAAAGTGGAAAGTGGATTGTAGAGTACACAGATAGGTAAGTCTAGCCTACAAAACTACCCAATTTTTATTTCAAAAAAACCACCTTTCAGCACAAAATCTTATCAATCTGACATTTTCGATGCCGTGTTGCTTTGCACTGGGCATCACAAAGTGCCTCATTTTCCGGATAAATGGCCTGGCCAGGACAACTTCAAAGGACGAATATTACATTCTCATGACTACAAGGAACCCATAGGTATGACGAGCGATATGCTGAGACAACAATACTTATTTAGAATGCATATTAATTACTCGTTAAACGGGACTGGCGGCTGGGAGGCGGGGCTTCGAGGCCTGATTAAGTGATAGGGGACGATCACGCTCGCAAGAGAGACGCAGATTGCGTCGCGGGTGCTAGCGGTCGCCCTTCAGACGCCAATCTCGTTGAATCAAAGGGTATATGATTTTTGGCTTAGCCTTTTTCCTATGTCCGCCTGAAAAGGTAAAAAGAATTAGGGGAATTGAACCAGGCTGCATACATAAATTCTGGGGCGTGGCGTTTGTCAATAGACCATTCCTGTTGAAAACTCTTGATTGGTTGTATCAATTTGTTAGGCTTTCGGCTTTTTGCTTAGCATTTCTCTATAACCGAACTAAAATGAGAGAAAACTGTGAGATCTGAACTAAGCTTCGCAAACACATAATTCGGGTCGAAGCGGATATTAAAGGTTGGCAAAGTCAGTACCGAGATTTTACAGCGTTTGATAGTAGATCACCTAAATTATCCATTAGTGAAGTTCGGAGCGAAAAAACGCATCCGGTCCCAAAATATCACTCCATCTACCGGACTCCACCCCCTTCGTTGCGCTCCCCGCCCACTTACACATAATTTCAAGTTAGACATTGAAATTTTGCCGGGACAATGCCTCTAATTAGCTATCTCCGCTAGAAAATTTATCGATTTACTGTTTTCTTTTGCACTTTGCGCTTCAAAGGGCTGCAAATCGGCAGAGGAGGTAAGGTAACTAAGCATATTGGTCAACAATAAGATATCTATCATCAAACGGCCTTTCTCCCAATTTATCTTTTTTCTAACTTTATTTTGCCGCGTAGCTGCAGAAAAGAGGCTGGTATGAATTAATTTGATCTCAGGTTATGAAGATAAACGAATTGTTGCCGTTGGCATAGGGAATTCTGGCGCTGATATAGCTGTAGAACTGAGCCGGGTGGCTAATCAGGTGAGTGTTCGTCCATATTCAGTATTCAGCTTTGTTAATGGGGCAAAGAACTATATGTCGCCGATCGGTTCCACACCAGCGCGGACAGCTGGTACAAATCTATGGTGTCTGTCATGATTGGAGTGCGTGCTTTGTTGCAGTTGTCCGCGTGGGACCTCCTGTCGGCCATATAATCCTCCACCCTTTTAATGGTCTAAATGTTTTACATCGCATATTGCTGTAATTTTGCTTTTCGTTATACAAACTAGATTTCAGGTCTACCTATCGACACGGCGAGGGGCCTGGATCTTGAATCGTATGCACTCAAGAGGTATGCCATTGGATACTTGCATGGTATGCAATTTCAATTTCATCATAATTATACTTAACTTACAAACTTTCAATTTCTAGTCCAGACGTTTTGTCTACTATGTACTCTTCTCACTACCACGATCTATTCGAGCGTGGCAAGCTCACAGGTCGATCAATAGCCGTTTCGACCATGCTGCTTACGGTTTGCAACCTAAGCACGATGTTTTTGGGTTCGTAGAATATTTCAGCTAACTATAAATACTACTTCATTTTGTACTTTATACTCCTGACCTCTGCAAATTCTGAGATCCCATTCATTAATTTCCTCAAATAATTTGTACCAGCAGCGGTCGCAAATTTTCTTCCGGGAAAAATATTGACGAAAAAATAACTTCAACTTTGAGGGAAACAACTGCCAAAAAAGATTAGGGGATGTTTCATAAACTTCTTGCAAGCTAGATTTTTATAGAGTTGTTTCTGTTTTTGAAGTCGCAGTTCTTCTTCCGTGGATTAGAACAACATTGGACAGCCTTTGTTGGCCAACCTTTTGATTGTGACTGACTAAATACAGTGATTAGCAGTGGCGTAACCAGGATTCCTGTTCGGGGAGGGCAAAATTTTTTTTTGAAGGTGTGTGACGTCAGTGCACTCCGAAAATTTTTTTGCTTCCAAAATTCTTGCGGGCCCATAACTTCGAAATTTTAAAAGGGAGAGCGTGGCGGCAGTCACGCCCACAAAAAATTTTTTGAAGTCAAGTTGAATTTTTGAACAATTTTAGAAATTGTAATGAATATTCACAAGTATAAACAAATCGCTTGCACATTTTAACTCATATAAGTAACTTTCAAGTAATTATAGTAGTTTCTATCGTAAGGCACTTAAATAATGTTTTTTCAATCAATATATAAATAACTGGTGAAACTTAAATCATTGAGTTACCTTAATGCAATATTTTAGAGCACATACAACACAGAACGACGAGCTGCCTTTTCGTATATGTAGTGGTACTGTCGTTGTGAAACCCAATATCGAAAAATTCATAGAGCATGATGTCTACTTTACTGATGGTTCTTGGGCAAAAGACATCGATTATGTGGGTGTGAACGAAAGTCAAAGAAGTGGTTGTGATTCAATGCATGCAAAATTATTTTGAGGTTGTTCTCTCGACCGGCTATGACATCACCTTTCCAATCGTTGAAAATGGAGAGCTGATAAAAGTAATCATTTTTCAAAGATTCTGTATTCATTAGTAACCCTCGATTTAACTGGCTTAGCGGCTGGAAGATGAGGCTTTGTGACCTAGTTGAGGTCGCTCGCGCCGGCGACGCAGTCTGCGTATCTCTCGCGCACGTGCTGTCTGATCGTTGCCTAGCCTTTCTGATCGTTGCCTAGCCTTAATTAGGTCACGAAGCCCCGCCTTCCAGCCGCCAAGCCAGTTGAATCAAAGGGTAGTTTCAATTACTGATTGCTAATTTTAGGTGAAAAACAACCAAGTTGACCTGTACAAATATATGTTTCCACTCGATCAGCCGCATAACACATTAGCCGTCATTGGCTTGATACAGGTCTGCCCCATTGAGTTTTCGGGGAAAAAATGACCTTAGAAATTTGCAGCCGCTCGGTTCGATAATGCCAATAGCAGAAATGCAAGCTCGAGTTTTCTTCTCCGTCTTGTCTGGTGAATCAAGACTGCCTAATGCATCCGAAATGAGAAGAGATGTTACAACCAAGAGGGAGAAAATGCGAAAACAGTACGTGGACAGTTTCAGGCATACTATACAGGTGCTATTTCTTAATTCTAAACTCCTTTCTGAGACCGCGTTTTTCCTAAACGCTAAAGAAGTAAATTTAGGTGGACTACATTCCTTTTATGGATGAACTGGCTACGATCATTGGCTGCCGTCCACGATTTTTTCCCTTAATCTTCCAAGACACACCGTTAGCGATGGCTACAACTTTTGGACCATGTGCTCCTTATATTTATAGAATCAACGGACCACATCCGTGGGAAGGTAAGTTTTCACTGTCACAATAAGATTTGTTAAGATGTCTCAAATTACTGCCTCCTCACTTGTTTGTGGGTGTATGACTTTATGAACGATAGCATGTGCCAGCCGCCAGCTGGGTACCGTACGCGGTGCGCTGATCGCTCCGCCCCCTTGTTAATTAGCCTAGGAATGCGTTGCAATCATTGGAAAACTCTAATATTTCGTTCTTGCTTCTTCAGTTGGTTGCAATTTGGAAACAGTAGATTTCAAAATTTCAATTAATTGAAAATCAGTTTTCACATCTTTTTTCATTATAAATTTATTCGCAAGCTCTTTTCAATGGATTTCAGTTATTTGTTCCTGGTAGGTTTGTCCAAATTGATTGTTTATTGTAAGTATGAGGAAATTATTTCATGCTTTGAGAAGTGTTTTTCTTTACTCACATCTGTTACTACACTGAACATTCGTTATTGTGCACCCACAAGTTTAGTTCAAAAAGAAGTCAGCTTATCGAGAAATATTATAATCATTGCTGAAATGACCAAAACGATTCTTTTTTATCGAAAAAGCAAGTTTTGAAATTCTAATCATAGCTAGAGCCAGATTTCATTGCGACGAGAATTTAAAACAAACATTATAGGCGAATTTTGTTTTAGGCAAACTAATTTCGATAAATTGTGTACATCATTACATCTGGTAATTTCGCTCAATCAGATATCACTCGTTTTGCAAATATGCGGTCACATAGATCACACAAACTTTTTCAGATTTCAGAAAAAGGAAAATCACATTGCACTTATATTTTTTCGAATCTGCTTTAGATAACAAAATTCTTTCGTTTGCTTTCAAAAACTGTTACCCTCCGTATGAATTGATCTGTAACTCAATCGAAATTGCATGCGAACTAGTCGTAAGATGTGAGGTCACTCAGACAATCATGCCTTAGGTGTTCTAAATTAATTTCACACTTCAAAGTTGGATATCACGAGTCACTCGGTCATTCATAGGTAAATCAGCAAATCTCTTGAATTTCACGATCAGCATTAGCTGTTCATGACTGGCAAAAAAGAAACAAGAAAGCAAAACAAAATTGTGTAAATAGTCAAGCTTCACCCCAGCTTGCAACAAGCTTATAACTCATTATCAGAAGTTGCTTTCACTTGACTAGGGAACATGGCCATGAACCAGTGCTAGAGCTGTACTGCAAAGAACTCGTCCATCTTGCGATAGGCGGGGCTAACGGTGCGCACCTTATTGACACACGCCTGCCTAAGCGCGCGCTATCGTTCATAAAGTCCGCCACCCCTTGTTTGTTACACCGATTATTCAAAAACGAGCCACTTATGTGCCAAATGTAAACTTACCATTTGATTCAACTGGCTCGGCTTCGGGAAGGTGGGGTTTTGTGACCTAGTTAAGGCCGCTCGCGCTCGCGACGCACCTGCGTCTCTCTCGCGCGAGTGCTCGCTGATCACTAGCCTTAATAGGTCACAAAGCCCCGCCTTTTCAAAGCCAAGCCAGTTGAATCAAAAATTATTTTGATAAATTATTTATTGCAGGAGCTCGCGATGCAATTCTAAACCTGCCCGAACGTGTCAAATGTGGCGCAAACCCATCATATGAGATGCAAACGCAGAGAGGCGGCGGAATCTCATGGACGCTTATCATTTTGGGAATGCTTGTCATGATTTTACCGAGATTATTGTCGCTGTAAAACACACTAATAATAAACGTCCCCCATGATACATCGAATACGGTTAGAAGAAAGAATAAGGCATATAGCGTGTTCCAAAAATATATATGACTAGCTGGCTAACCCGGCTCCGCCCGGCTTTGTCAAAACAGTTTGATAAAGCTCCCATTCCTGTCCCTGTAAAGCTAAACCCTTTACCATGCCCACTTCTACATGTCAATTCCCTAACCCTGTTTTCTTAGTAATCAGCAGGCTCACCTACCCACTGTGGCAACTCCCAGCCCTTTAGCTTCTTTGCAAAAAATCGATACATACAGAATGCTCCATTGTAAGGTTACTTAGACGTGGAGGGTCACGTCTTCAAGAGTCATTGTGTCAGATTTAATCCCAAAAAGAAAATGTCACATCATTTCATTAGTACCACCACATACACAAACCGTTTTCCATCCAATCCTATTTTCCGCTACACTTTTTTTTTGACAAACCGCTTCCAACCTACTATACTCAGCGCAATAGTGAGGTTTTCATATTGTGACTAACTCATCCAGCAGCGAAATAAAATCGACCTTGATCAATAATTGTTTGAAGCAATTAAGAAGTAAAGGTTATGTAGTCGTCGGCTCTTTTTCCTCAGTCGTCTTCCCGCAAACGCGAAAACCTTTCGGCATGTCCACGAACGGGTGGCAGGAAGTTCCTCTAATTCTCGATCAATAACGTCCGTATGGGGCCAGATTCTTAATCGACAAATTTTCCATCTCCAATATTGGTTTTTTTTTGAGCGGTGAACATGAGTAGTGTATCGTCGATTCATAAAACGCAAAGGCTGGGCGCTGTTGCGTCCGATCAAGATAGCTCGTGCATGGGAGAGACAGATGGTAAGAGAAACGAAAGAGCGCCTGAGCAGAGAGACGCCGATATGTCCGCAGTCTTTGCGTGCGATGAATCGCCTATAGAAAGTCATATCGAAGGATTTTACAAAAAATCTAACTGTCATACAATTTGAGACTTGTAAGTTACTCGAAAACGTTGTTGACTTTGTTGAAACTCACAATGTTTTCTCATAATTTTTAGTAAATGCTAGAAAAGCGTTGAGGCAAAATATAGATGTAAATGAAACGTGTGCTAGTGTCTTCGAGTGTTCTAGTTCCAGAAAGGACAATACCGAATGTGAAAAGCAAATCCTGAGCTCAAGTTGCTGCGGAAAGGGGCCATGTATTAGGCTGCCTTCAAATTTTCAGTTTGGATTTCTATACCAATAAGTCATACACTTTGATGCTAACTAGGATGGGTACCATTCGATATAGAGAGGAAGCTCTAAAAAACATTATTCGCAATAGCTTCGAGACACTTTGGGTTTGAATCCGAAGTCTATAAAAATGCGCATGCGAGAAAAATCTTTGGAAAAGTGCTTATCTGTCCAAGACGAACCGACCAAATCTCTCACTCGCTCCTTATGCACTCCAAACTAGATAAATGACAATAACCATAAATGAATTCGCTGTATTCTTTTCGTAATCCGAAAACCAACAAAACGAATATTTTCATGCTTTATCCAAAGAGATGCGTGTTGGTTCTCACATAAGCATATATACTCCAAGCGTTCAGAAGTACAGGGTGGGGCAAAAGTCTGAGAGCCTACTTTGTAGTGCTGTGAATCAAGAAACTACTGATGATTTTGACTCCAAATTTGAGCCACATATTGCTGCGATCATTCTCTACAAATCACACTTTGGCTGGCTGAAAATGCTTGCCATGTTATTTTGTAGGAGTTGGACTTATCAAACAAGTGCTCTGCAGAACGAGAAAATCGAAATTTTTAGTCTTCACATCTTATTTCGTAGCTAAAGATACAGTGGATATTCTAGAACACTTCGATCCATACAATGTAGAGGAGACTTTGCGCAATTATTTCGTAGTCAACGTTTCTCAATTACTATTCTTTCGAAAACGCAAATTAAAAATTTGCGAATACTACCCGCGTGCCAATGGCCATTTTTCTTCAAAATAAATTTGAAAACTATAGGAGCACAGCAGGCACTGAATTCGGTACTTTTCCGTTATCCGGACCCATTTTTTCAAAGAAGCATATTGCTCCTTTTTTTCATACCATATTTGGTCCCATCTTCACAGAAAGGAGTGTCAACCTTGCTGCCACGTGTCACAAAAACTTGACATGTTGTTTACATGTTTAACAGGTTTACCAAGACTTTGAATTGCCCTACCCAGCAACGTAAGTTCAATCTGTTTTTTAGTCAATATGGCCCCATTTTCGATTGAACAGTATCGAAAATGAACCCTGTTATCATAATAACGTTATTCAGTTATTAATGAACGGATGACTTGTCCAGAATAGGGAAGTGGGCTAAGGTCTCATCGTCTAAGTGCCGAAACAAGCAGCAGCGAGGAATTTCAAGCCGTCAATTACAGTCTTGTCTGGCTAAATTCGCATGGAGAAAGGTTTGAAGAGGAAGACAATGCTGAAACATTGCCGAAAACAATCAGAATGTTCTAGTGTAAGTTCTAGATTGTTTTGTTCTTATGGAAAACGATTAAACAGCTTCTAGGCAACCGCAGTTGCTCTTTTACCTCACCGGAAATGATCTAGGAAAAAACATGCCAAAATAGACCGAAACGTGCCAATATTTTCCTGACACGTGGCAGGGATTTAGTCCTTGAGGATTTTATGAAAAATTGTTTTTAGACTAAAGAACGTACTTTGTGGGAGCCTTCTAAAAAAATGGGTCCGGATAACGGAAAAGTACCCTGAATTCTAAGCTATATTCTTTCCGTGAGTCTTCTATGCAAGCATGTGCTTGAGTTCGACCGATTAAGCAATTTCAATACTTTTCAAATTACGATTCTTCGCTCCCGTTCGCGCGATCGCTTCATGATTTTTAGTATGCGAGTACACTTGGATTCAATTAAAATTCCAAAATTTCTTTCCTAGGCAAAAAAAGTTTCTTCGCGGCACGTTAAAAAGCTTAGTCTATCCCACCGCACATTTGCGTGATAAAAGAAACAGTTTTCGTATAGGCGTGGGAAGAATTTCATCACGATTGTCTGCGTGCCACGACAGGCGGACTCGCCAAGATTTTGAAGGGTTGCTTTGAAGCCAGAAAAAGCAATCTCAAAATTTGAGAGCAGCGCTGTATATGTAAAGATTCGATTTATGTGTGCACCGAATTTTTTGTTCCTAGGCAATTTCTTTCTGATTTTATCTGAAAAAGTACTAGGCTCCCAGACTTTTGCCCCACCCTGTATAGGCGTATCAGCTTTCTACAAGCTCTGGTTTTCGAGAAATATTAGCATGAGATACCTAACAGGCAGTGGCGTACCGAGGGGGGGCCCCCCGCCCCCGAGAATGGGTCGCGTAATTTTTGAAAGTTACTTATATGGGTTATAAAAATGTGCAAGTAACTTGTTTATAATTGTAAATAATTAAAATAATTTTTAAAAATTTTTAAAAAATCAATTTAGCCTCGTAAAAAAAAATTTTCGGGGGCGTGGCTGACGCCACGCCCCTTTTTCCAAATTTTAGGGGTTGGGGACCCGCAAAAATTTTGAGAAGCGCCCCTAAAAATTTTTCGGAGTGCGTGGTTAACGCCAAGCACCTTCATTCAAAAAAAATTTTTGTCCCCCCCCCCCGAGCGGAAATCCTGGGTACGCCACTGCTAACAGGGTAAGTCTTTCTAGTCAAAACGGCCAATGGAACAACTCTGCTAAAGAAATAATGATTTTTGAAAATCGATTTTGTTAAGCCTGACGTGACATATTAGGTCGTTTCAAAAGTAATTTCGCTTTTTTCAAACGGGCGCCACATTTTATGGAACCAAGGTTCCTAAGATATCTTGGAGGCGTTCGATGCAGAATTTCATTCTCTTTCCAAAGGTTATGGAATTGTTCGAAAACGTTCAATGAACTTTCAGAAAATATACAAAATCTGCGACCCATGCTTTTTATGGTCAGGTTCACAATTTTTTAAAACTTTCATATCAATCCTCAGAAGGAGTTTACGTAACGATTCGGTAGAGTAAACCTTATAGAATACAGTACTACTTTTTTCGCTTTTTTCTAGCTCGCCATAACTTTTTAAAAGATTTTTTAAAGAAAACCATCGGATTTTGCAGGCCTACGTCAGCCACAATCGCATCAAACAACGTGTCGGGTACAGCCTGGGTCTCGCTAAAAAAATGAGTCATGATGATTTCTCCCAGGAAACAAAACGAATCAGAAAAAAAAACTCCTGTTAGAAAGAGGAGAAAATGCTGCATCGAATACTGCGCTAGCTGCTCTTCTTCTGATATTCCACGAGGATTTAGCTGCCCAAGTATGGAAATCGGTAGCATCAGTTAAAATTCTGTCAAAAATATATGACAAGCTATGGAAAGGAGAAAAAAGTAGTACTGTATTCTATAAGGTTTACTCTATCGAATTCTTACTTGAACTCCTTCTGAGGATTGATATGAAAGTTTTAAAAAATTGCGAAACTTGATCTCAAAAAGCATGGGTTGCAGTTTTTAGTTATTTTCTGAGAGCTCATTGACTGTTTTGCAACAATTACATAACCGTTGGAAAGAGAATGAAATTCTGCATCGAATGCTTCGAAGATCTCTTAAAAATCTTTCTTCCATCAAATATGGCGCCCATTTGAAAAAAGCGAAATTACTTTGAAACGACCTAATAAAATTAGCGGAAAGTTGTACAAAAACACCTATGCGGATTTCCACAGGACTGTTCCTTTCTTGTAGTAAAGATAGTTGCTACAAATCTAATTATCTAGTATCAGCTGTTTTCGTACAGCTTTGCCCTAACTTCTTGTCACTTGAAGCACGACAAATTTAGGCTTTAACACTTCTAACTCCTTTCGGAGAGAGGTTCCGCAGAAAAGGAGAGCAGATTCAAAATCATCGTTCAAAAACGCGTGTAGTGATGTAGGCGATATATGGAAAGGCCACTTTGACTTGAAGGCAGCGTTCGGCAGAACTGGACACGTGCGGATCGCACGTGGAAATTGATTTTGTGGGTCTA